AACATATACAATACATATACTGAACTAACCAGTCGAAAAATAGCCATTTATTGTCTCTTAAATGTAGCTGTACATGAAGAGCAAAGCCCCACTGCTAACATGGCATTTCCAAACTCAGCGTCTATTTGTATGTCTGCCCAGAAATGGAGGGAACTCCTCAGGAAAATGCACACAGTCATCCTGGAGTTCTGAATGGCAAGGGATCAGAATGCTGACATGAGCCACACCGAGGATGGAACAATGTACAAACGGAGTCTGTGATTCCCATTTCAGGAATGGCTGTCAGAAAATCAGGATCCAGTCAGTCCCCAGGTTAGGAATGGTTGGCTTATGGACAATTCAGACGTGCCCTTCAACGTTATGCAAATCTGCCTTCTCTTTGAAATGACTGAAGAACCTTTTCCTTGCAGTAAATTCTTCATCATCATCAGCTTGACATGCTACATGTGCAGCCTTTAAAGTTTGCAAAGCACTCCACATGCCAAGCTTGGATGATGCTCTGGGGAAAAACTAAACACACCTGTTCCAACTTACCTACGAATTTGACTTAAAGGTAAATCTTGTTCATATCCTGGGGACTCTCTGTAATAACTAATGTATATCGTATATTAACTGGGGTACTAGGCATGATGCTAAGAATTTTAACATCACCCCTTTGGGGTGAGGACACTGAGGCTCAAAGAGCTTAAGTAACTTGCCAAAAGTCTCACTGCCTGTACGTGGGGTTTACCTTCAGATCCAAACATATGACTGCAGACTCTACTTCCTGCAGCCCTAAAACAACCTCAGGACAAAGTCTGGAGTAAACTTTACTAACTCTCATATTAAGTTAGAAAAGTCAAGGTAATATTATACCTCCTTGTACCATCAGTCTTTGAGTGTATGCGTGTGTCATAAACTGAATTCAGAATGCCCTTGCTAGTAGCGCTCATCAAGGTTATCCTAAAGCAAAAGCCAAACACTCCACATAATCCAATTTCTGCCCGTGGCTCAGGCAGGCACTGTTTTATAAATAATCCCCTTAACCGATCTTGCACCTTTCCTCACCTACGGGGGCCAGAAGATAAAGTTAAGAAATACAGAGAGTCTCCTGGTTTCAAACGAGCTCCATTCCTGGGTCCATAAGAATTGGTAAACAAAATTGGATTGATTTGTTATGTAGCTTGGTGGCACTGTGAGTTAGGCACTGGGGTTGTTAACCATAACACCAGTAGTTCAAACGCACCAGCCGCTCCTCTGGAAAAAAGATAAGGCTACACACCTGCTCCTGTGCAGGGGTACAGTCTTAGAAACCCTCTGTGGAGTCCTCGCAAGTTAGAATTGGCACTATGAACAGGGGGTTAGTGCAAGAAGAGGCTCAAAGTCATTTCAATAATTTAAAAGCTCCAAGTACAACCCATGAAGGTGATTTTGATGAAGAGCAGGGGTGAGTTTAATCTTTTCAATGTGACATAACATTAAAGGTCAAGGAAAAACCCAAACCAAACCCACCATCCTAGAATCAATCTCAACATATAGCAGGCAGCCTTTCCTTTCACACTCGGGAAGGTTGACTTTGCTGTTAGCCGCCCAACTCCTGATCCACAGCACCACCAAGGTTCCCTACAAAGGCAAAACCAAACCAAAACAACAACAAAAATCCCCTCACGGCCCTTGCCATCGAGTGGATGCGGACTCATAGCGACTCTGTAGGACAGGGTAGAACAGTCCCTGTGTGTTTCTGAGACGGGAGCTCTTTAGCAGAGTAGAAAATCCTGTCTTTTTCCCATGCGGTGGCTGGCAATTTCAAATTGCAGACCTTGTGGATCACAGCCCACCTTGTAACCACTACATCACCAGGGCTCCTGCATGGTCGGGAGGTGAAATTAATTCCAACTTGTTGCTCTTCAGGCAGAGCTGCCTGTGAGAACTACCGGGGGAACTTAAAAAAATCCTAGTGATCAGGGGGTACCCTGTCAATTAATAGATGCTCTAGGATGGGACTGAGATCTCTGGAACTCTTTAAATCCTCCAGAGAATCACCAAGGAGCCCGGGTATGCAGTGGTTACATTAAAATGTAAAATAAAGCCAAACCAAGCCCAAGGCTGGCAAATCGATCCTGAGGCCCAGGAACCCCAGAGGAAGGACAGAGTAGAACTGGCCCCAGGGGCTGACAAACCTGTAAATCTCCATTGAAGCGAACCTGCCACCTCTTTCTCCCTTGGAGGGAGTGCCTGTTGGATTAGAACTGCCCACATTTCCATTAGCAGCTGAAGGCATGCGTAATTGCACTACTAGTGCCCTTTTTGCAAAGATTAAACCCATTGGCATCCAGTCGATTCTGACTCATAGTGACTTTGTATATGATTCCCACAGTAGAAAATCTTCCCTGCAGCAGATAGCGGCTGTGAAGTTTTTTTGTTTTTTGTTTTGGAGCCCAAATGAGTGGGTGCTCTAGAGTCAAGACCGAGACTAGTCCATCCCAGCTATCTCTGTCATGTGGGGAGGGACAGCACTTGTCGATCGCAGTCCTGCTAGCAGTAGGTACTGAACATATCTAATGAACAAATAAACTAGACCCTATCAAACCCAGCAACCTTAATAAACGTCCCACTGAATAAAAAGGAAATGTGTCACTGAGAACACACAGCAGCCGGCAAGGGGGCCTGGAATCTAGAGAACAAATATGTTTCCGTTCTTCCGTGCTTTCTGGATGGCTGCACGTGCTGCCTTGCCCCGGCTTGTTTCAGGACAGTGTCAGCAGCTTGTTTTCCTTTTAGGTTTCGATCACCTGGGCTTCACACCCATGCTGCAAATGCAACTCGGGGCCACAGCTCTCTGTGTACAGGGAGGCACCCAGGGAAATTTTCAATGACCCCCAATACCCCAAACAAGTGAAAGGGAAGCATTCACGGAAGAGGGCTGGACAATCAGCTCATTTTCCTACCAACGACGACTACCTATAGATGCCTCGCAACCTGGTGGTTTCAAGCTGAGGGGACTAGAAAGCCTTCCAGCAAGGAGCTGATCCTCTGTCCTTTCTCGCTTAGTGGGCGTTTTGTTTGGCCTGGCAAACACGAAATGCAGGATGCTTGCTGTTTCACCAGGGAAAACAATTGTGGAGTCCTTTGTTTGCTTTTTCCCCTCCCCAAAGGCACAAAAGTTTTCCACATGTGCATGCAAAGAATCAAAACACAACTAAAGCAGTAGCTAGCTTTCTGCCCTTTGTCCCCATGACAATGACCCCTATGGAAGGAAGTCTGTATAGATGGATTTCTTCCTGGCTTTACTAAATCTTTGAGGTGAAAAAGCAACTCGGGTCATGTTGATGGAGTTCTCAACCGTTGCTCAAGTGCCACTCCTTATAGAGAGGCTAAGGGAAATCACTCTCTCGGGTCATCACTTTCTACCCCCACCATCTGCTTGGCTTGTATGCCTGGTGACCGACCTCATCTCCAGGCTGAGTTCCCACGGAAAGGACAGGTTGTTAGAGCTTGGGCTTCTTGGCATCCGTTTTTGCCCCCCAGCAATGAATCTCAGGTCCTGGGAGTCAAACTCACTCTTTAAATCTTGGCTCTTTCACCTGCCAACTGCTAACTTTGGGCAAGTTGTTTAATCTGTTTGTGCCTCAGTGTCCTAGTCTATGCAATGGTGGCAATAGGACCTTCGTTAGAGGACTGCTGTGAGGATTCGGTGAAATGATACAGATTAAGAACCCAGTTAGTGTTGTGGCAAGTACTTGGGCGGTGTGCGATAAACATTGAAGTATGTATTGTTAAAAGCCTGCCCAAGGGAGCTCAGAAAGGATCACCTTTGAAGGTCACTCCTCAACAACTTACAATACGCTTAGTGTTTTGTTTCAGTAAGTGAAAAGATAAGGTTCCTAAAACGTCTTCGGACCTCAGAGCTGGGCAGTTCTCTTCTGAGAAATCCTCTGGATGGACGTTTTATCCGTAGTCCCCTAAAACAGGACACACAACAATGTCATTGTAAGCCAGCGGGGATCGAAACACACAAACTCATTCTACAGCAGGCCGGGAAGTTTAGAAGCGGAGCTGCATCTACAGCCAATACTACCCGGCCCTCCAGCAGCAGCCCATAGCAGCCAGCAGTGCAGGCAGCTATCTGCAGCATCTAATGTCCAAGGTACCGTACCTTTCCATCTAAGGATCGCTTCCAGGAGGAGTTCTGGCCAAGCTGCTCGGACACCAGTCATTGCCCAGGCTGGGGCATTAGCAGCCTTGACTGCAACAGGTAATGAAGCTGTGGGCCACGCCTCCCGGGAAGGTCAACATTTCCCAGGCCCTCCAGGCTCACCCACGGAGCGAGCGTGGACGAGTTCACAAATCCCAGGGGGGTTAGGCACAGCTGGCTCTGGGAAAGAATTGGCTGCAAGTGCTATTCCTTTACCAGACAAGGGTGACTTTGCTACAGCTCTAAAAGACTCAAGGTGATGTCCCCAGTTTTCTGATGCCAGTCCTCTAGGATGTCCCTAAGGTAGGTGTGGAGACCACGGGAGCGGCACATTAGGGAATGGGTCTCTGGTGACCCCTGATCGAAGACATCTTACTTGAGACTTTTCTTCTTACTTAGACCCTCATATCCCACACCCACCCACTCATGAGGTTTGAAAAGGAGATCATGGTATTTCTTTGAAATAGATGGGAAATGAAATGAAATTATCTTGGAAGCAACCAGAGAGTTTTGCCCTGAATTAAGAACACTCTTTAATATGCGAATAACATAGTTGAGCCAAGCATGAAGAGTTCTGTAATATAACACATACTCATATATCGCCATATGGTTTAGTAAGCATCTTCACATTTTACCTATTTTCTCAGAAAGAAAGAAATGTAAGGAGATTAATGATCACAAGTAGCATTGACATATTCATTACATCCCTTCACCACCCTTCCCTTTCTCCCTCAAGAAAACCACCAGCTGGGATTGGAAGTTGGTTATCTCCTGCATACGCTGACATGACTCTTGCCCTTTCTTCTTAAAAATTTAATATAACATGTATTCAGTATTGTATATCATGTGGCAACTTGGCTTTTCTTGTTCAGTATAACGTTAATCATCATTTTTTTAAAATATCAAAAAAGGAGAACAACTGAAATGTCCACCAGCTGAGCACTGTGTCTTGTGGCATACTGAGACAACAGAATACCAGGGAGCTGTCACAACGGATGCCTTTCTGTCAAAGAACTAGCTTTAATGTGCGTGGGAGTTCCTTTGCCATCCATTAGCAAACTCTTGTGAGGTTTTTGTTTTTTAAAGATGTGTCTCTAAAAGCAAGATGGTCTAGTCAGATCATCTCTGTGTTTTGATAGTGGAATTCAGGCCACTCGAAACTCTTGTCCATGCTGCTAGTTGGGTTGATGCTACTACTGGCCTTTGTTTCATTCCAGCACCCTTGGCCGCCGTTCCTTTGTCTTCATTTCCACTCTCCGCCGGCACATGTTCTACATTCTCTCCATCGCTGTCATTCATTTGGTGAGTTTTAGAAACTGTAGGCTAGGCTTCCATTATGTTACTGGTCGTTCTTTGCCTTACAGAGTTACAAAGCCCTGGCCAACGATATGACAGGTAGTAGCACTCCGTAACTCGCTACTTAGCATCCCTCTGTCCTTCTGTTTGTAGCTTCTTTTTCCTGTTTTCATACAAAAATGGATCATGATTTTATGATCGATTGCTACTCAATATATGTATGCATTTGAATCCTCACCATTGACTCCAGTATGCTACACTTTCCTTTTGGCTCACTTCTTGTAGTATGTGAAGGACTATGGGTAGTAAATTATGTTACTGAAGAAGACAAATGCATAGCCATCAAGTCAAGTCCAACTCCCAGCGGCTCTATAGGAGAGGGAAGAAGTGCTCTTGTGGGTTGCAAGGCTGAAATCAGAGGTTCTCAACCTGTGGGTCGCGGCCCCTTTGGGGGGTTGAATGACCCTTTCACAGGGGACAGTGATAAAGTAGCAATGAAAAGCATGTTATGGTTGGGGGGGGGCACAACCACATGAGGAATTGTATGAAGGGTCACGGCATCAGGAAGGTTGAGAGCCACTGCAAATCTTTATAGGACCAGGAAGCCTTGTCTTTTTCCCGGAGACTATCTGGTGGGTTCCAGCGCTTAACCTTGATGTTTGAAGCCCAAGGAGCAGCCCGCTATGCCATCGGGGATCTCCTGGAGAAGCAGGCAGCCCTGTAGAAATCACTTCTAAAAGTGCAGGTGGTCAATGATATCTTTCTAGAAATCACATTGCTTAGAGCAAGAAGTGTTGCTGTCGGTTGCTATATATAAACATTTATCTATGAGGTTGTAAGGTTATTTAAGAGTTACTTAAGAGTTACAAAATGCAAACTACATATGAATGATCAATGGATAATACAATGGATAATCAATGGATAATAAGTAAACTGTGATGTAATCATATGCCATGTTAATCACGGAAACATATTTTTTTTAATATGTGATAACACAGGGGGAAGCTCACAAGGTCATAGTGTACATTTTAAAGCCAAGAAACAAAATTCCAAGTCAAGCATCATTGCAGTGTAAGAAAATGAAACATGTGCTCGAGACCGGAAGGCTGGTAATTCTGGTTAGCTTCACGTGATAGCATCATGGGAGATTAATTCTGGTTCCCATAGTTCTTAAATTGTTTTATCAATTGTCTGCGAAGACCATGTTTACCTTTTACAAACTTTTATTCTCCTAAAACAAACATGGGTTTCTCTCAAGTTCTACCTGCAAAAATTATATTGTAGTAGCCTAGGCTTGGAGGTAAAATGACCCACAGGTGTCCCATACAGTAAACAGTAGTTACCAGTGACCATCGTGAATGCTTAGATTTTTCTATAAATGATGCAGCGTTCTAAGAACAATCATCCCTTTTCCTCAACAGTAGAGGTTAGCTATGCCATTTGCTATGTGTCAACACTATGTTAAATGGACCAGCATTATTTT